AAGTCTTCTGAGCCTCCCTGGAGAAGGGATATTGGTAACATAAGCTTTCCTCCCCACCAGTGGGCCATCCAGCACTTCCACTATGTGTAGATGTTACACACACCTTGCTAGGGTGAGGCAAGTAAAGAATAGCCAGCACACCAATTGGTGTTATTAGAGCTTCGTCTATTAAAACAACAATTACTCTGTTCATGGAGGTAACTGAGGTTGACCTTTAGCTCCTTCCTCCTCTCCCAAGTTCACAAGGTAGCAACTTCAGACTATCAGTGCAATACAGAAGTGTTCAAGTGCCCCACGTAAGCCATTACAGGAAGCAGTCCTGTATGTCAGTCCTTCAGATCACAAGGCATTCGGACAAAGGGAGTTTCTATATTCAGTCTGTTAGTTTAGAGGCACTCACACCAAGCCATTAAATACAGCATCTTAGAGCAGTCCTGAAGGCGGCCTTTGAATTGCTATGCAAGCAGCCTGTCACAGGGAGGGAAGTCATTTGGTAGCAGCCACTCTCCGGGCACAGGCTGTGTACTCACTGCAAGCAGCTACTCCCCATCCCTGCTGCAAGTGAGTACTTACCACCGAACAAGAGTCTTGACAGCTCGATCCAAATGCAGAGTCAACACCTAACGCTTCCCACACCCCATCCCAGCTGCCTCATTGCCCTTATCCCACATCGTTGCAGGTCATCAGGCTACTGGCCACATTCTTCATGAGAAGACTGTTCAAGTCCAGCTATGCTGAACAGCACAAACAGGTAGCATCACCCACGATCAGAACCTCCATCCCATCTCCCCAGCACTCAATTCACCAGCACCAAATCTCTAGGGCTGTGCAGAAGCACAAAACCATGGCAAGAGCAGCAATACAAGCTGGTTTACATCCATAGTTAACCACAAGTGAAGTCTCAGTGCCTTCCTAACCATTTCAACTGCACGCAGCAGAGAACAGGAGTACTTTCAAAGCGCACAGTTACACAGATTTCGGCCTATTTCCTGTTCTCATCACAACTCCCACTTCCTGTCAATGGTAAATGCTACAACTGGCTGCATCTGCTCTGTATCGCCGCTGTCCCTTCAACTCTCATAACCCCAGCATCTCGTTGACAGAGACAACTGCAAAAACAAAATCCCCGAAAGCCAATTTTTCCTTGTTCTGAGTGTACCCCCAAGGAAACTCTGGGTATGCTCTCATGCTGGAGTACATGCAGCATTTACCCAGCAAATACCAGATTCCTATGAATAAGAAGCTTAAAGCAAGTGGAAACGGGTCTGACCTGGAGCAGTGTCCTGTGAGCAAGGCTCAGGCCTGCCTCAACACAGCAGCTTACCAAAGAAGAGTTTCAAATACCTGCTTTCCAGAGCAAAGCCTGGAAACTTTGTGACTGCTGTGAGGCTACTTTAATAATGTCTCAAGTTTCAGCTCAATTCCATAGTTTGATAGGAAACCTACAGCCATTTCAGTCCAAGAGCTCATCTGGAGGGATACCCCTTTAGTGTCATCAGCTGGAGAACCTCTTCAGCTTTCAAAACACAGAAGCACTTGAGCATACTCTGACCTACAGAGACATTCAACCTCAAACTATTTTGACCAGAAGGCAAGTCAGAAACCCACTGTTAAGCCAGTACCGTTCACTGAAGCTAGCAGGTAGGAGAGAAGCCATGAGGAGTAACTTCTCATGGCTTAAGTCAGTGAAGAAGTTACAATTCAGAGCTGAGTCCTTGCAAAGGCTAGTAACACTGTCAGGACCCCCACCTCCTCCTCTGAGGAAGGACAAACACTCTTTTGACAGGATGAGAAAGCTTGATAGGAAGCAAATTAGCAACTTGTTTTGCTGGACAGCAAGGACAGTGTTTCGCAGCTCTGGCCAGGAGCAGCTTGGTTACCACCAGGTTCAAGAGGCATATCAGCAGCTCTACATCTCTACCAGCCTGAAAGTTTCCACCTTTCAGAGTTTCTCCTCTAACCAGAGTCTGCAAGGGAACAGTTTTTGCTTGTTTAACCTTGTATTCATTTACCAGGGCAGTCTATCAGCAGTACGTAAGCTCTGTCACTGTTTCAGACTAACATTCTGCACATTAAATGCCACGTGAATCATGCCTCTACTGAGTTATGACCTCCTGAAATATGATAGGGGTGATTCCCAGAGCAAAACAAGGAAATGAGCCTGTTGACATCCTCAAGTCTTAGTATGACCTATATTTCACAGATCTCGATTCACATTGCCATCTGGTTGTGCTACATGAACTCAAACAGAATTAAGCAAGCATGTCTGTATGTCCAACTCATCATGGAGAGCTACTGATCAGAGCAAGCAGTCAAGCAGCTAGAGCCTGTGACCACTTTTAATTATGGAGAACCTGATCACCATCTAAAGATGGTTTGACATTTGCCTGCAGGATTATATGACTTCATGCCCACCTGAGAAGCTGCCAGATCTTTAGGACATTTGGGTGGAATTTATGCAGTTCAGATGACCCTAACTGCAGCCATCTCACTAAGGGTCTCAGGCTGAGAACATACACGAGATCAGAATGACCAGCTTAGTATTTCTGCTGATGTTCACAGAAAGACGAAATAATTGAAGTGAGCAACTACCAAAGCTGTAGACAGTGAGAACTCCCCATTGCAGGAGGATCGCTTTGGCACTTTTTGCTAATGCCAACATCTTTGAGGATTTTTACATTCCTGTCAGAAACAGAACTCCACTCTGCTGAATGCAGAAGTAACAGCCAGCTAAACTACACAGCCTGGATCTGCGCTAGATCAGCCCACACTGATCAGTGATTATCAGTTTGAGAAATGGAGTGCTTCATGCTGCATGAAGCCATTTCTGATGCTCAGGGAGGCTGTTCATCCCCTCTTCCAGCAGAGTGAATTGGGCATGCACCCCTCCCCGCAAGGGGGTAACTCTCAAGCCACGGGTCAGTCAGACCAAAATAACTGTAGTGATACTGTGCAGACAAGTAAAAGCAGCTGAAGTTGCAGCTTGCCATAATAATTCAAGAGGTCAAGACCATGAGAAGGAAGGGTATGACAGGGTATTCTTGTAATCAAGATTAACAAGCATTAATTTTCCTACTAGCTTCTTGTAACTAGTGAAACTCAGCAGCTTGTGATGTCACAAGAATCATAAAAAGGTACATGCTGGTTTGCTTGCCCTACCCGCCTCCTGCTTACTGAAGCACACTCAGGAGCTCTGCATCACACAGGCAAAAGTACTAATTTTTTTTATTGTAAACTCTTGGAACAGTCTCTTGTTTGCTTTGAGATCAAAGACAAGTTTCAATGCCTGATGCTGTCCAACAACCAAGAACTCTAGGTCTATCACTTCTGCAGTTTATGCTCCTCACAACACTTCATCTGTTTGCCAGGATTTGTTGTAGGGGCTTGTACGCTCCCATGAATATTGAATTCAAGAATCTGAATGCCCTACATGAGAAAGCACATGCCAGCACTGCCGCATTCCCAGCCTACCCAAGAGCAAGGCAGTTCTCCAGAGCTGATAGGATGCTTGAGAATAGCACAAGAGCTTGTTTCAAACAAACCAGCCCAGTACAAGAACCCCAATCTCCACAGGCCAATTACTATCAGATCCCCATGATCAACCCCTGCATGAGACAATTGCTTCACAAGACTGCCTATCACAAGGAAGCTCCTAGTTTAAGGTGTCAGAAGTTCAGAATCTGGTATTTTTGCCCTGTGTTCACCCAGTAGCAAGGACTACTCTGAAAGCTGGCGATATTTAGAAACCCAATCCCAAAGAATCTAGTTACCCAAGAGGACTGCTTCTGCTCTCAGCTATGCAAGAAACCATTTAACTGTGGACTTGTTGGCTTAGAATCAAAATACTCAAGACAAAAGCCCCAGTGAAGTATTTATCTTGTTAAATAGCTGACAGCATTACATGAATTTCTTGGCAAAGCAACCCCTGAAGTTACTGAGTGGTTTTGCTTCACCTAACACTGAATGGGCAGCTAGCCACTGCTAGCAGGAAGCTTGTGCTACCTTGCTCCCACCCAGAACTGGGAAGTCAGCTCTAGGACCCAGATTCACAAGCAACTTCCACGAGCAGGACCAGCAGCAAGTGTCAGACCCATCAGAACAACACAGACTCCACTAGCCCAGATTAGCACAGCATGGAGTGTCAACCTGATTTTCCAACACATTAATGATTAATAAGAACAAACTTCAAAAGCCTTACTGCAGCGGAGTCCACGCTGCAGAGGAAGGAGTAACAGATCCAGCTCGTAACAACGAGATGAACCAGGAAACAGACTTGCAAGTACAGACCTCAGTCCCTCAGACCCATAAAGTCCGATCAGTTTTAATACTTCATCTTTCTACAGACAACGCGCACTTCCCTCCACAAACAAAGAACACTTAGTCTCTTGATCAGTAAGGCTTTAATCTGGAGCTTCAGTAACAGCTCTAAATTGGGGAACTAGTCATTGCAGTTGTCAGGAGCTGCACTACAGCCTTAAAATGTAGATTCAGACCTAAATCAGCCCAGACAGCAGTTTCAGACGTACTCCTATGGTTTTTACACTATCATAAGTCAACTTCTCTGTAGAGTCTCATATCCAAGCCTCCCAAAGACTTGGGCACACTCAGTTTAATTTAGAGGTTAATAGGCTTTACATCAGCAAAAAGTTAAATTACTTTTTGTTGGTAGCTACAGTCCTGAAGAAGTGTAGTAGAATCTGTAATACCAGCTCCTTTTCATGCTTTTAATACCTGCATCTGTTTCCTGACATCTGCAGAGCCATGGCCTCCAAAGCAGCCCCAGCAGCTGGCTGTTTTTCAAAGCAGCTTTTCAAAAACAATTCTATCAGAGATTTCAAGGCCGTTACCCTGCAGTTACGACTCAATCCAGCGCAGATGCTATGTGCAGCTGAGCTAGCAGGACAGTACAACACGCAGCTACATCCAGTTGGGCAATCCAGGGCCAAGCCAGCAGAAGAGGCCTTTCCATCACTTTGCAAGCCTGGTCTTATGAAGGACAGTTGCCAAGCGCAGTGAAATGGAGCCATCTTCCTTCGGTCATCTCTAAAGCTAGATTAACAGAGCCTTTAAGGCAAGACAAACCCAAGAGAAGAAGTTGTGATGAAGACCAAGTTTCTGCCACCTAGCAGGGCCTCATGCATGAGGCCCTAATGACAGGGTGCTGCACAGTGCCAAGCACAAGTGGTCAAAATGAAGATCTGACCTGAACAGGCAGCTCAGACAAGATCGTCTGAAGTCCAGACCAGCTCAGAACTCATTGTTATATACAGAAAGCTACTGCTCAGTTTGAGACTAAGTCTCAGTTGCTAGATGTCACCTGCTTGAACTAGGCAAGTCAGGTCTAAGACTGTTAGGCTATGAAGCCAGGAACACCCGTGCATCCTACAAAGCTGATCTGACTCTTTGGAAGATTAGGAAAAGATCACAGCCTGCACAACTGAGTCAAGAAGTGCAGTACTTTGCTCAAAGGGAGTTATAAAGCTCCTTCAAGCCTTCTTGTAGCCAGTTTAACCCCATACACATCCCCTCAGAAGGGTTTCCTAGGCTTAAGTGGTTATCCTTCAGAAAAAAAACATCTCATGAGGTAAAAAGACATTAAACTTACTGATGCTACCTTGGAGCTACATTTTTTTATACTCAAGCTGAATAGGTATCAGCAACAATAGTTATTACCATGTTGGTCACACTGGCAGCACAAGGAAGTTCCATGCCTAATCCAGTGGGGGTTTTAATTCTGCAGAATAGCATGACTAATTGCTTTTAAAACTGCAGTTAGTGTCTATTAGATCACCATAGCTGAACGGAGAAACATGCGGTGAGGGCAGGCTGAGGTGTAGTGCTTCTGCCTGGTCCTCATGTATCGGGAAAGCAACAGGAACAACACCAGAACTCACGTTCTAACCAGGGCCACCAAACCCCAAGTTGTGTTGACATGGTAGCAAGAGAACTCACACCAGACCCAAGTGACAGAAGACCCATGAATGCAAGCTTTCAGCACTGATCAGTCAAGCTCTACTTAGCTGAGCTATGGAGACAATATACTTGCAAAGACTGCTTTAAAGAAGAGTGGAATGAAAAGTGGCATGAGAAGGCATGAATTGCAGCGCAAGACTTTTGTGGAAGAGTTTTGCATCACCTTCATTTCACATAAGCTGCTCACTAGCCGTAGGGAGCAAAGCCTCCATATTCCCTGTCCCCCCATTAACTCCCTCTTGGGGGTCTTACCTACTTTTAGTTATCCTTGATACTGCAGGAACTTAGTCCTATGTCACAGAAGATGAGGCACAGCCAGGTTGAAGGAGCAACTCATGAGTGCAGTCTGGACCAACTACAAACTGAACAAAAGCATCAAGTTCTTAATTCTGCAGGCAAGGTTCTTCTAACCCCTGTTCTTGATATTGTCCACTACTCAGCACACCCTCAAAAGACTCAGCTTAATTTTGACTACGAGTCCAACAACATGTGCCTTTAGATAGCACCTACTATTCTGTGAACAAGGCGGCAAGATCATTAACAATGCAAAGCAGAAAACAGCCGTCTTCTCTGCAAAAAGAGTCAGTGACCTTCATAATATCTTTTCCAGACCGCACAAAGATCTCTTGCCTCTAGCAGCTCCTTATTTGGAGCTCTACCAAATAAAAGCAAACACGAAAACCAGCATTTTCTTATCTGTTTATGTAGAACTACTCCAGCAGTTCATTCCTGTGCTCCAGGGGAGGAAAGCGTTCCTTTTAGGATTTAGATGAAGCTTTATTCTTCCCGATACTGTCACTTCCAGGAACGTTCATTGTTTCTGGCTAGCATTTAGAGTGTTTTCATAGTGTTACTCTGATGACTTAACAGAACTTGCATAAGAGGACTTCAAACTTCATACCCCAAGGGAAGAAAACAGCTGACTCTGCCGTTTCTACATTCTACCCTCTTTTAAGTATGCTGACCGAAATACTTTGGGCTACACCCACTTCATTAGAAACGTTCCCATTTCATTTCCTGTGTCTGAAAGTACTTGGCATTCTTTCCCCCTCCCTTTTCTGGGAAATGCCATGACCACCTATCCGCTAATCATGCGGCAGTTTAAGAAGTTAGGATCAAGTGCTGATGACCAGCAGGGCCTAGAGCAATTCTAGAGCTGATCCCTCTTTAGATGCAGAAGAGCTTTGCTGCGATGGAGGCAATTCCACTTCCCATCACAACAGTTAAGTTTGGCCAAGCACACAAAGTATGAATATGTTACTAGACAGTTTTGTTTCAGACACTGCCCAATCCATTATTGGTTTCACTAGTAAAGCAAAGGGACCTAAACCCAACTCTGTTCATAGTAAAACTAGACAAATGTTTTATTTTACTATATTCATACCCACACATCAAGCTAGCCTTCCCCTTACTGCTCTCTAGTAGCTTAAATCCTTCTTCAGCAGTGCCATTTCGTCTTGCCTATGTTGCTGCCTCACCTGAAGGGGTATCAGCACCTACTTAAACAGCCTGAAGGGACCTACGCTGCCTGGCACTATCTTAAAACAAATGTAGTCTAAATTAGCCTATAGGATCTTAGAGGGAAAGATTGCCTCTAGAGGTAGGTTTTTGCTATGGAAGTAGTTGACTGTTGGGGCATACTGCTGAGACTCAAGAGAAGTCTGAGATGATTTCAGCAATGAGACGCAGTTACTGAATCTAAACATTGCTGCTCTTAACCTTACAGGTCTATACGGGCTCATGCTTTACCTGCTCTCCTCACTCCAAGAATGCATTAAGACCAACATCGTCTCGTAGCTGCCTACACGCACTATTCTGAATTCTTCACCCTTTTCAGTCAGTTCTTTCACCTTATTATCCAGTTAAGCTGAAAAAATGTAAAAGACTCTTAGAGTCAAGGCAGTATTATATCCCACATTAACAGGATATTCCAAGAAAGTTCTTTCAAACAGCATGGCATGTCAAGCGAATATGAGTCAGAAGTATCTTTTTTTTTGTTTCAACCAAGCCTTGGAGTTCTGCCTTTAGTGTAGGCTCAGGAGTCCTAACAGTGCAAAGCGGAATTGATGTCATGCTATAAGCAGGGCAGCTCAAATATTTGTTGACCCACCACACAAAAAGCTAAGAATAGTAGATGCAAGTTGTTCCACATAAGACTTAAAATAGCACCTCAGTGTACTCTCTTCCCTCCGATTTCCTTACGTGCTTGGACACAGTCAAGGTCAGAACTCCAACAGCCATGTACAAAAGCAACAAGCTAAAGGTCAGCTGAGATCGGGTCAACGCTGTATTTGGTCTCGCTGGCAGACCAGTTTACAGTGAGGAGTCACACTTAGTTAGCAGAGAGCAACTACAACTGTCATGGCTCCTCACAGCCCCCACCCAGCCCCAGGCATTTTAGCAGCACCTTGAGCATTACCAGGAATAAGGTTCAAGCAGTCTTCACAGGATTTAGCACTACAAACCTGTTTCTTACACTTACATCTGCACTATCAGCCTTCGCAGGATCACATACCGACTATGCCCTCAGCTTACGCGCAGCGGTCTCTCCCACCGCGCTGAAGGTCCAAGGACGGCCTTGCATCTGAGCACGTCTGGGTTTCCTTCCCGACAAGCTACAGAACTTTCTTGCAGGCTTTGTGCCTCATTCAAGAGCCTGCAGCACCACACATCTCGCTTCACAAATGCCCCTTGGGGGGCACAGGGGCTGTGTTTGTCTCCAGCAGCAAGCCAGAAGAGTCTCCACTCCACTAGAACCTATTTTTGGCAGAGAGTCGCATCCTTCGTTTAGGCAGTTCTCTACTCAGGAACCCGGCTGGGCTTTCAGACTTCTAGAGTTTCTGTTCCCACCTCAGCAGCTGACTAGCTACAACAAAATATTATACCACATCTCTCCTCACAGGTGCCGCACCTTCCCCAAATTCCATTTAGCTTTCAACCAGTCGTCACTACAAGAGAGACAGAGGAGTCGGGGAACCGCCGCCAGGCAGACCCAGCACACCGACAGCAGGCACTCGTGCTTGCTGCCGCGCGAGCCCTTCCTCCTCACGGAGAAAGGCAGCCCGAAGGAGCGCCAAACCTGAGACTCCACAACGCAGAGGCGACGCTCTCCTCGGGTCCGAGATCGTCACCTCTGACGGGCTGATCTTTCCGACGAGCACAGCTCCCTTCCCCGCTTA